ATGTTGTTAGCAAAACTTAACGAATGTGCATGGATTAGGTGTCATTAATCGATTACTGATTCTTCCTAAATTGAATCGCCTCAAGTCAAAGCAGAAATTGATGCTCTTCTGCTTTCTTCTTACAAAATGGTGGAAGTAGCTGATCAAATGTGTCAGCTTTCAGACTTTTAGAGACGGAACAAATAAGTGTCTGTTTGTCATTAAATCTTGGCTCTGGTCTCTTCACTAGAGAGTTCTTTGTACTACTATTTTTGCAAAGCTGAGCCTGCAACACTTTTAATGATGAGTCATTATCTTATGATCTTTTGGGTCTTGTGCTGGCCCTCTGAGTGCTATCCTCTTTTCACCGCATTAAAACAGTATTTGTCTCTTTCACTCAAGCATAAAGGCCTTTTGATAGTTCTGCCTGGGACTTGGCTAGAAACGACGACTGGTGCATGTCACAAGGGATGGAAATGATTTATCCCTGACAGCCAAAAACGTCTTGTGATTAGAAAAAAGAGAAACACCTGTCTCTGTAATTATGCACATCTAACTTTTAGAAAAAACTTAATGTCACTGATGAAATGAGGTTTAACAAACACAATTTGAGTCTTTTTCACAGGATGTTCTTCATTAAACTTTAGACCCACTTACAGTTTAACACACATGACATTTATTCATCCAGGCAATTCATATTTTTGCAATCTTGTGCAAACAGCTGAGACAGAGGTGCGGCTTGTTTGACTAGATATGCTGGAGCATTGAAAAGCCTTTGCAGAGCAGCACTTTATCATGAACGACAAGGCTGTTACAGAAGACTTTGTACAGTTTTTTAAAAATGCATTTACACACTAGGACCTTTAATCCCAGCAGGTGATATCCAGTCCAGTCTGCGGCATGTCTCCGTAAAGGCAAGGTCTGCAGGATTTTAGCTTGAACCCTTAAGAGTCAAATCTTAATGCCACATTGCTGTAAAGGGGTCATCAGCATAAGCATGTCATACACAGTTGAAATCAGTCTTTACAAAAAGCATTTTCGATAAGGGAAGAAAAAATAATACAAACACAGAATACATTCAAAATGTAGAGGCAAAATGTCGCACACACCAGCAAATCTTTTGGAGACGCACAGAAGCCATTGTGTCCGTTTTCCATTAGGTAAAAAGAAAAAACAGTCACATTAATCTCATCACATACATATAAAAAAAGTCCCATAGAAATCTTAACACTGATCCCATGGATTTCCTCCTTTTTCCATAAATGGACATTTAACAGTGCTCTGTGATTATGGGCTGATGAATACATTGTTTCTAATTGACTCAAACCCAGTTCATCACTGTTTTACAAAAACTTCTGACCACATGAAGTACAGCACATTAGTACCAGTATCTCTGCAATGAGCTCTTACAGGCTCATGTCTGTTTTCAGCAGAAGACAGCATAGAGATGAAGGACCTGAAATACCTTTACATCTACTACTATATGATTGTTTTAACTAAAAATCTACTTTTAAATATACAGTATGGACATCACTGGTCTGGTATCTTATTTTGCCTTTTTTTATTTAATAAAAATCATTCAGCTATTATTTGAAAGGGCGTATGTACAGGTTAATTTAATATTTCTATCTTAAATTTTGTTTCAATATCTTTATTCCCCCCAGGGTGAGGTTCTTGCTTTCTCTATTTCATCCTGCATAATGAAGCGTGCTTGCACTCCTGGGGCGATTGTCATACCTGACTCGTACTCGTGCACATCATAAAATAGGTCCTGAAAATCAGTGTTTTCTTTGAATTTTGTTGCCCACTGCCACTGCCACCATTCATGGTTTTTTGTGGCTTTATTTTCAGAACTATAGAAGCCTACCCACGCCTTTTTAAATTCAGATGTCCAGTTATGGAAAGACTCATTCACTATTAAGCGAGCGCAAGCCTTGCCGTCTTTTGCAAAGAGTTGCAGGTTAGCATCATAACCTGGTATTTTCACAGCTTTGGGGTTTTTAAACTCACTGCCTCTGTCTATCTCATCTCCTAATGATTTCCAGAAGCAACATAGAGTCCTGACCTCATGCAGTCGTGCCTGAAGGCCTTCATTCAGGGGTACTGATGTATCATAACTGCCCGACTCTCTGTTCCCAATAGATTTATAAGTGAGAGCGTCCTCTTCCTGATCATTCTTGTAAAGTGCCACCATCACACCTTCTTTAAGAAGATGTCTAGGAACATCGCTCCAAATAATTCTGGCCTTTCCCTTTTTTCCAGTTGTCACCTTCAGTGTTATCTCATCTCTATGATCCGCTTGAATTTGAGCAAACATTCCAACAGGATTATTATGCCTGCTCTCTGGGATATTGATCACAAAATCAGTTTGTGTGTTCCTTCTTGGTGCTGGCTGAGGTCTGTTGTTGCGTTTGTGAGTGGAATACTTCTCCTGGATCACAATAAACAAAAACAGCCCAAGACAAGCAAGCTCACCCCACGTGTTTCTTATCTGCCATAGTTGGGAATCATCAGCACGGCTTCCAAAGCGGTCTCTGAGATACGTCAGTGAGCTCATGTCATTTTCTTCCACAGAAAACTCTCTGATCTCCGTCAGCAGATTGGTAGTGACCTGATATGTATGCTCTGGATTATACCTCGTGCCCTGATTTTCAGATTGCTCATAATGCTGTGTGATATACACTTGATCGATCCTTTGTGAAGTTTGGCGTCCCACGTTCTGCTCCCTGACCCTGAATATGATCCTGTCCCTGTTTCTCGCTGGGTACTCCGCCCGTGGGTGGATGACATAATATGGCAGTGGCAGCGATGTTTGTTGATTGATGTTGCCAACAGTGTAGTATCGGTATCCCCTCGGCAGTGGGTCTAACACCCTCTCGTAGTTTCCGTAATGATGTGAGCCGAATTCTCCACTATTTGGGTCAAAGGTCAGCAGGATGATGTTGTTGTTGTCAATGTCAATTTCATTAGCAAACCAGTGGAGCAACAGGAGGCTGTGTTTGGGCACCGTTTGTCCAAAGTCGATTGACTTAAGATCACTGATTGAATTCAGTGCCCGTTTTCCAGCTAACACAGAGGTTAGGGTCAGGAGGAGAGCCACACAGCAGCTCGTGATTCTTCCTGTCTTCAACATCCTGTAGAGAGATTTAAGAGTTGGTGGTTTCAATATTCATCTAGACTCTACATCCTCACCTTACACTTGTTCATATTTTGATGATCTTTTTCCTGGTGGTCTTTAAACATTAGACATGTTCATAAAAACAGTAAAACAGGTTTTGCCAGTTATCTTTCCTTTGGCTAATCCCATAATGCAGTGTTGACTTAGGTTAACATGAGGATCGTGTCTCAGTGTGTGTTTTTCATGAGCCAGATCATTTGGTTAAACAGGAGTGCACTTTCCTGGCTCGTCATTGAGTACAAATTCTGATTTTGTTTTTGCTTTTTTTTTTTTTTAAATTAAGCCAGAAAGTTTTGAACCAAGCTTTATATGTGGGCTCATGAACTACTGAAATTATTGAATTTAACTGCATGAGTAAACCTGAATATTTTTTTTACAAACATGAATTTGAAAACATCAACACCAATGTCTGTATTATTTTTAATACTGAACATACTTGGCTGTTTGCTACAATTCTAATGACACTGTTCCTCAGGCAATGTTTATGATAACTGCCTTTGTCAAATGAATAAATGATCCACAAGACAAGCTGTTACAAAGTGCTCTGTAGACTATCAGTGTAATAAAGACCATTAGAACCAGTGAATCGCATAACATCCTGCTTCAAATAGAGAAAATGATTCTGTGGGTCAATAAAGCTGTAGAAAGTTAGGTAAATATTAATTTTGTGGTTTTCTTTTATGATAAAGGATATATTAGAAGTACATAATGCTACTAAAGACTGTCAATGTTCAAATTTTGTACCTTACTACATACAATACTAAAATAACGTGAGAAGCAAAGAAGCCTTCACAAATAAAATCTAGAGTTAAATCAGTCACAAATTCATTCAAAATCCCACCAAAAAGTAAGAGGACTTACCTGCGTTAGTCTGTTGCTGTCATGTGTCTGAGCTCTTTGTTTGTGTAGGAGCAGAGGTAACTCCCTTTAGGTTGCTGTTTCCGTGTAAATGAAACCAAAGCAGCCAGCAAGGCTGGTGCTAACAGGAAGTTGTCTAATACATCTGTCTGCATGAAACCACCTCCTGTAATAGCGAGCAACAGAATACTGTTTCAGCATTTTAGCTGGGTTTACAGCCACGCTTCTAGATACAAACACTGATTATTTGTCATTTTGAAGAGCAGGTTTAGGATGAAGTGTCTGACTGTTGGGAGAGCGACTGAGACAAATTTGGTTAAATATTAGTCAGTATTGCCTGAAGCCTTATCAAGTCTATCAGGTCTTTGTAAGTACTTTTATATGCATGTGTCACAACTCTTGAACTCCTAGAGTGGATTGAAATACTTGCACATCAGTGTCTTAATTTGTATTCGCTTTTTTAATATATGTATGTGTATGTGGAATACTAGCCTCAAACACTTGACTTCTTTTTTGTTTCTTCTTCTTTATTGGTCGTTTGCCATTATTAGGCAACACAAAGAGTCACTTGGTTACCTGCTATTTGTTATTCACTATGTTGTGAATCATGGAAGACGTGCAACGAACATTCCCAGATGGATTTAAAGCAAGTGAATCATGCATTGTTTTTAGGTCAGTAGGTCACCAGGACACTGTATTTAGTTTTTTTTTATTTGTCTAGTTTATGTTTGAGAGAATATAATATATCTAATACGAACATAATGACACTTCTGCTTCAAGGCAGGTACGCGTTAATACACTTAACTCAATAATTATATTACATTTACAATGTTGTCTTTACTTACGTTGCAAAAGTTCTTCAGTTATCTGCATATTGAATGGATGGAGCAGATAAAAGAAATGGATGTGAATTCATTTCGTGTGTTTGAGAAGCAAAATGGAACAGACATGCATTTCATACACCACAGGGTAAACTGCACCCATGTCAGAAACAATCGCATTATGCTATTAACACATCATCAGCTCTTTACAGGCATCTGAACAGATGGCATGATAACAGACAGCTAGCCAAGAACACATTGTGATCATAAAGTTGACTCTATGCTGACCCCAGCCCAGCAGCCAGAGCCTGGTCATATAGCGTAGGCACTGATGAGCCTTACATTCTACGCATCTGCTTGTTTGTGTTTCTAAAGTTGGTTATGACACATCACAAAATAACCATTGCATACTTGAAAAAATGGTTTAATGAACACACACTTTTCAAGATGACAGAAGAAATACAAAAAACATCTATAAAATACATGTCTTATTCAAGATTCATCGATCAGAGCAATGGTCCTTTTTTCTTACAAATCTGTGGTGAGCTATTATATCATACACAGTAAGCACAATTTTATGTAGTTCAAATGCTAAAAAGATATTTAGAAACCCCAAACATTTCATTACAAGCATTCTATGCAAGATTTAGAAAGCAAATCCATACAGCACAAAGTAAAATTAAACAGATGGCTGCAAAGCGTACAATGTAACAGCTCCTGCTGGATTTTTGTTTCCATGTTTAATTAAACATCCTGCTGGTGGTCGTGGCCTTTTCTTGGTGAACAGTAAGGCGGCTATAGCTTGGTTTAGTTGATATCTAGAGCATGTTGTGCCTCTTTGTGTTATTTACTGGTTTGAAGGCAAGGCAGTGTGCTAATGTGTTTGTATATCAGCGTTTACTCAACAGTCATTCAAAGTATGTTACGAAATTGGATTAAAATAACTTTATTTTTGAAGAAAATATATGTATTAAAAATGAATTGATGAATGAACAGAAAAGTATGATTAAAATTTAAAAATGTGAAAATATATAACACAGATTAAAAACATATGTAAATATAGTGTAAAACAGGTAAACAATGATAGTAAATATCATTGAACACCATTTTAATGAGAGCAGTTTATGTGATGTGACATTAATGAAATCCTGATTGGAAAATTTTATAGTAGAAATTTGTTTTCAAGCAGTTACTTAATCGTAATACGTAATCTTGCCAATAAATGGAAAATTTGAAACAGGCCAATAATTACTAATGGCCTCACTATCTGAATTTGTCCTTTTTTCCTTTTTTAAGAGGGTTTGAAAAATACAGTCTTCACCAATGCAAAAGAAATACCAGGAAAAAAAGTTCAGGAGCTAAGGTGCTGAAAAAAGTAAAAACTTGCTAGGAGTGTATAAAGACAGCAAGTAAGAATAATGATGTAACAGGATTCTGTAGTCGGTAACAGTCAATTCTAACAGAGAAGCTCGATTTAAACTATGTGCTGATGTTGATTTTAGTTAAATTAGTCCTTGCACACATATGACAGGCGGGGGAAACAGAAGAACGAGAATAAGATGTTGGAGAAGCCCTGATTCCAAAGGTCCTATCTCAGAGTTGTGTTGTTTCCTTGTGTTGCAGCCTGTGATAGGTTATTTAGGTTAGAGTTGTGCCTTTTCAGAGGCCTGTACTATGAAGCAAGTTCTACACACCCAGGGTATCTTTCTGTTATTTGGATTTACTTACTCTAACATCAGCAATTGAATAAACAGTTACACGAAGCTAGTTATCAACTCATTAACTCCAGGGTTTCCCCTGCATGTTCACATGAAACGGTTGGTCAGATGCTTCCAACACCAATCTAAAAGGGGTGTTTCACAGGTCATGTGACTCGTCCTCCACACAAAATGATCCCTATGAGTGTTGCTATCACAGACCTTATCAGATGATGATAAATGTTGATCAAAATTATGCAAAGAACATAAACTGTAAAATGCAACACTGTTGCAAAAAGGATGAGAGAAACTAATTAATCTTGTGACTTGTGAGTGCATTGAGTGGTAAAGTAAATATTTTAATTCACATTAATTATTTTATGGCTGAGTGCATGCTCTGTGCTGTTGATTATTTCTAAGGTGATGGATGCACATTACAGCTGTTTACACTAGATGCATTTGAACATTAAAACTCACTGTCCCACAGGCTAATAAAGGAGATGTTGAAATGACTTCAGTTTGTCTGCAGATCAAAGTGACTTTGATTTGATTTGTTGAATAGGTATTCTTGGTGTTTTTCTTTTTGTTTCCCAGTGGCTGTATTATAAGATTTAGCAACATTTTGTGAAGTGTAAAAACATTTATACTTATTTATTTTTTTTCAATGTTACTCATTATCAAATGGTGATTTTTAATCACCATTTGATAATGTCTGGTTTAGGTTGCGTAGGGATCATTTTGTGTATACGATCTATGAAATGCTCCTTTGAGATCAATCAGATGCTAAGACCACCCTTTTCATGTGAAAGAAGCTGGGAGTTAACTTGGCAAGTTAATAAACAGCTTTGTATGACTATGTATCCTGATCACCAGTGAATCCAGGTAATTGAAAGATACTCTGGGTTTGATTCATAGTATAGGGCCAGGCCTCTTGACAACAATAAACAACAACCATATGTTTATAATGTCCTATAGCAGGGAGTCATGATTGTTTCTTCAAAAGAATTCTCTAGAAACCTTTCTGATCACTCTTAAGAGGCTGGTAATGACCTGAAATTAAAATCTGCTGCTAACACTTGTCTCTACTTTCTCTCTTTGAATAATGTTTTTTTAAAAAAGCCAATCAGTATTTAAAGGAGTAAATTTCTTCATTCAGCCCAGGGTGAGGTTCTTGCTTTCTCTATTTCATCCTGCAGTATGAAGCGTGCTTGCACTCCCGGGGCAATTGTCATCCCTGACTCGTACTCGTATACATTATAATTGTCCTGAGAATCATTTTCTTTGAATTTTGTTGCCCATTGCCATCGCCACCATTCGTAGTTGTTTGTGTCTTTACTTTCAGAGCTATAGAAACCTACCCACGCGTTTTTAAATTTGGACCTCCAGTCCTGGAAAGACTTTGTCACTGTTAAGCGAGCACAAGCCTTGCCGTCTTTTGCAAAGAGTTGCAGGTTAGCATTGTAACCTGTTATATTCACAGCTTTGGGATTTTTAAACTCACTGCCTCTGTCTATCTCCTTTCCTACTGAAATCCAGAAAAAAAATTGAGTCCTAACCTCATGCAGTCGTACCTGAAGGCCTTCATTCAGGGGTACTGATGTGTCATAACTGCCTGACGCTATGTTCTCAATACATTTAGAAGTCAGGGCTTTCTCTTCCTGATTATTCTGGTAAAGTGCCACCAACACATCTCGTTTAAGAAGGTCACTATGAACATTGCTCCAAATAATTCTGGCTTGTCCACTTTTGCCTGTTGTTACCTTCAGTGTTATCCCATTTCTATGATCCAGTTGATTTTTTGCAGACATCCCAGAAGTGACATTTTGCCTGCTCTCTGGGATATTGATCACAAAATCAGGTTGTGTGTTCCTTCTTGGTGCTGGCTGACGTCTGCTGTTGTGTTTGTGAGAGGAATACTTTTCTGGGATCACAATAAACAAAAACAGTCCAAGACAAGCAAGGTCATCCCAGATATCCATAATGTCCCATAGCTTGGAATCATCAGCACTGCTTCCAAAGTGGTCTCTGAGAGACCTCAGTGAGGTGATGTTATTGCGGTCCAAGGAAAACTTTCTGATCGCTCTTAGGAGGCAGATGGTGACTGGATATGTATGTTGTGGATCATACTCTGTCCCTCGAGCTTCATAGGTCTCATAATGCTGTGTGATATAGACTTGGTCTATTGTCCATACTGCGTTCCACTCCCTGACTCTAATTATAATGCGACCCCTGTTACTTTCCTCAATGTCCGACTCCACGACATAATCTGGAAGTTCCAGTGATGCATCTTGGTAGATGTTACCAACAGTGTAGTATCGATATCCCCTCGGCAGTGGGTCTAACAGCTCTTCATCGTTGCGATATTGATGTGAGCCATAATCACCACTGTTTGGGTCAAAGGTCAGCAGGATATCATCATTGTTGTTAATGTCAATTTCATTGGCAAACCAGTGGAGCAAGCGGAGGCTGTACTCAGGCACAGACTGGCCAAAGCCTACCGTCTTCAGGTCACTGATTGAATTGAGCACTCGTCTTACAGCTGACACCGAGGAGAGGGTCAGGAGGAGAGCAACACAGCAGCTGATTTGTCCTGATATCTTCAACATTCTGTAGAGATTTAAGAAGTTACTGGTTTCATTATTCTCTGCATTTTTACCTTACATTTGTTCATATTTTTCCCAGTGGTCTTTAAACATTAGATATGTGTACATATAAACCCTGCAGTAAGCTTTGCTAGTTATTGTGTAAGTGTGTCCGTGTGTGTGTCTGTGTCTGGGTGTGTGTGTCTTTGTCCGCGTGTGTGTGAGTGTGTCTGGGTGTGTTTGAGTGTGTCTGGGTGTGTTTGAGTGTGTCTGGGTGTGTGTGAGTGTGTCTGGGTGTGTTTGAGTGTGTCTGGGTGTGTTTGAGTGTGTCTGGGTGTGTTTGAGTGTGTCCGGGTGTGTGTGAGTGTGTCCGGGTGTGTGTATGTTTTGAGTTTTCCTGGTCCTTAAGTACAAGTTTGTCTGCTTCTAATTAAGCCAGAATGTTTTGTCCTGATGTTTGTTTGTGGGCTCATGAGCTGCTAAAATACAATTGCATGAGTAAACCTGAATATTTCCAAAAGCATGATCAAATTAATGTCTGTATTGACAGTTTTTTGGGGTTTTTTTAACACAGAATATACTTACTGATATAGCTGTGCTACAATTCTGATGATGCTGCTGCTCATGCAGTGTTTATTATGATTATTACTTTTCAGGAAGTAAAACAATCCACAACACAAAATATCACAAAGTGCTCTGTAGACTCTGTGTAATAGAGACCAATAGAAACAATCCATCACATTGGGGCTGCCACAAACGATTATTTTGATAGTCGACTAGTCACCGATTATTTCTGCGATTAGTCGACTAATCAGATCATCATCCATTGGATGTAAAACGTATAGATTATTGCACCAGCATGCATCTGCTCTTATATAACTATCATTAGCTTACAGCTTTAAGTGTTTAAGGTATGTGCTAACTAAAAATAAAGACAAGATGATAGTTTATTAAATTTTAATGAAATTTGCAGATTGTTTCGGTGGAGTTTAATAAACTCCTTGCTATCTAAAATATAACGGGACACAGGAGTATATTCTCGAGCATCTCACACTTCTGATAATCAGTTGTCTGCTTAACCTTTATTCAGCTGTGCAAAAACTATAACTTTAATCTCAGCCAAACCGATTTACTCAGGAACATACTAAAAATACTAAAAAAAAGCCAAACAATAACATTTTTAAGTTATCTAAGTGACTTATATATGTTTAACCTGAGTAGCGAAAGATGGCGGTGGGTTTGAAAACGATTTGCCGGGAGTCCGGTGTTCTCACGGGCTCTAGTGAGCCTTGCTCCCAGCTACCTATTGAGCTAGTGGGTAACAGATGTCTCCGAAAACGTCGGAGCGCTTTTGAGAATATGTGGTGTCTTGATAAACTGAGTAGATATTTGAGGTTTACACAGCTACATTCTCGCCTGAAAAATTTTTAAATGTTTATTTTGTGACCCAGAAAGAATAATAAGAGTAATATTAACTCTGCTGCCATTGTTGGAAACTGAGCTGGGCTGCACTATGACTTCTGGGACAGAGCTACTTCTTCTTCTTCGGGGTTTAACGGCAGCTGGCATCCTTGTACATGCAGTGCTGCCATCTTCTGTTTCAGTCCGTTATTACACTCTTAAATCCTACTACTTATTGCTGCGTCTTTTGTGATCTTACAAAGCTTCAAACGACGCCTCGACTATTAAATCAGTCGTCGACGATTTTGATAGTCGACGTAATCGTGACTAGTCGACTAATCGTGGCAGCCCTACATCACATAAAAGCCTGCTTCAAATATTGAAATGCATTCAGTGGGTCAATAAAGCCATAGAATGAGGTGAATGTATGTTTGTGAATGTATGTTGTGTGATTTTCTTCTTCTGTGTGAAAGGGTGCATTAGAAGTGTGTAATCCTCAAAGAGACAGTCGACTCTCAGTATTTATTGTAACTTACTCCATATAAATTCCTCGTACAATGCTGTTAGCTGCACTGTCGTGTAAATAATTTTCCATTCAGAATAAATTCTAAGCAGAGAAACCTTTACAATAAAACCTAGAGTTAATCAGTCTCCAAATGATTCAAATTAGCAGCAGAAAGTAAGAGAGCTTACCTGCCTTAGCCTGCTTCTGCCATGTGTCTGATCTCTCTGTGTAGGAGAAGACGTAACTCAGGAAACTTAGGTTTCTGTTTCCCTTAAAATGAAACTAAAGCAGCTGGAAAGGCTAGCGCTAACGGGAAGTTTCATAATACAGCTGTTTGCATGAAACCTCGTCCTCATGGAGAAAAACAGAACGGTATTTTAGCATTTTAGTTGGGTACACAGACAAGTGACACTTTTATATGCAAGTGCCACAGCTCTTGACCTTCCTTTGCACATAATCAGTTTTTTTGTTTCTTAGTTTTGTTTTGTTTTTAAAGCAGATTATTGGCCTCAAACACTTTTTTTCCTTTTATTTTTAATCTTTTGCCATTATCAGAAAGTGTAGAAATCTATGTAGTGCATTGCAAACCTCATATAAAGCTATGTTGTAAAACATAGAAGAGCCAGATGAAATTGAATCAAGTGAATCTTGTTTGTTATAGCCCAGTACCTAACCAGGCCACACAGTTAATTTACTTTTTAAGCAAGACTAATATGTCAAATACAACGTTTGAGTCAACACAGTTATAACACATCACATAAAATGACTGTCCCCAATTAAAAATACAGTTTAATGAGCACAACATTTTAAAAATGCAATACAATACCAAAACAGTAACACAACACGTCTCTGTCATTCATCTGTCAGAGTAATTGTCAGTTCTTCTCCCTGGATGAATCTGCTGGGAGTCACTACTGTTGATTAGACTTGATTAGATATTTGACAAATACAAATGCACAATTTTGAATAGTCCACATACAAAATGTTGATTTTTGTGACTTGCTGTCAAAATGATTTATTACAAGCATGCTATAACCAGCCTGTCTTTTAAATCTAACACAAAATAAACTCATATAGTCCAGGTTAAAACAAAAATGAAAAAAAGATAATAACATGGTTGCAAATTGTACAGCAGAAACTATTGGTCATGTAGTCAAACTCAGATAACTGCCCTGTTGTCCCGGTCAAGACAAAGATGCTCCAGGTTCTCTGGTCCTGGGCATAATTTCAGTTACTGATTAAACTATACTCTTTTGTTAGGGCTGTGCGATATGACCAAAATCTCATATCCCGATATTCATACATCTATCGTCCAATAACGATATAAATCACAAAAATGTAACATTTTCTGTAAATTCTGTGAATCTCGGGCAGCTCGACTTGCGTGAAGTGTTTCCAGCTGGGCGTTGCGTACCTGGAGTAGAGTGTTTTAACTGATGCATGAAACTATACATTTTAAGACATAGGTTGTAATGGCTGCCATTTTCTTTGAGTATTTATTACACAGCGTGCTGCGGGGAAAAGCCTGTTCTAACGTTTGAGGTTTATTTTTTAGCACCTGGCGGCTCTTTTTTGCTTCTCATCCGTAAATACTCTGCATCTTTCACGTGATTGTTTATTTTGAAAGGTCTCAACAGGATCTTGAGCTTTATTGTGAAAGGTTTATGTGGAAAATAAGCAAGCAGACACGCGGTGGTTTTACCGTTGTTGTTGCTAACGACAACGCATAAAAACAAGCGCTTGTCTGTCTGTAGTGTGGT